GCAGCCGTCCAAGAATCGCTTCCAAGTATCGCGCACATGTTTGGCAATGGATTCTGACATGGAATCGTGTACCTTCCTGTAAAGAATATCCTCTATGTAACCCATCACAACTGTACGATGTAGCGTATGTTGGGGCGACTTTCGTTCCCATGGCCGTTCCCTTTCTTTGATGATAGAATTTTCCGTTGAAACAGAAGGTATTATTTTCTAAGACTAATCTTAAAGATTCCACGATGAAACTTTCCGAAAATTCAGTGTCGATAGCCTCAGGATGTTTTCTCAGCCAAAACTGAACTGCTTCCAATCCCAGATCATGGGGTATGTTGGTAAATAAACTCTTCACATCAAAGGTGGCTAGAGTAGCATCAATAGGTACGGCATCGGGGAGCTGGGAAAGAAAGTCTATATCGTCTCTTACAAAACTCGGTACATGCTTTGTTAATGGTTTTAAAATGATATCGACGAGATTACTTAGGCAATGAGTCGGGCTGTTCGGTCCTCCGACAATCAGCCTGAATGTCAAATCAGGACAGCTGGTAATTTCGATATACTCCGCATTCTGTTCGGCAAAAGCATTATTTATCAATTTACTTTTATGGATCTTGGGTAGTCCATAGAAACTAGCCGTCTGCGGGTCACTGTTTATTAAGTTGTCTTTTTCTTTAGGGTGTAGATCTCCAGAGAAGTCATCACTATGTTTTTAATCTTCTTAATTACAGCTTTTTCAGTAATATCTGTTTCAATGTAAAATTCCTTGTCTTGCAATAATTCATAAATTTTTATTCATAATATTCCGAGTCCATTATTACGACTGCGCCGCCTTTATCTGCTTCCTTAATAACAATCGATTAGTCATTTTTAAGATCCTCCACAGCTTTACGTTCTTCCAGTGATAAGTTGGGATGGCACTTCCTGATGTTCCGTAGAGGATATTTCTCCAGGTTGTTTAAGTAGTCATCAAGGTATTTATCCCGGTTCTTTTTTGGATTGAACATGCTTTTGTTCCTTAATGATGGTCTATTTGTGATCGAATTTTTATCGGAAACGGATATATCATCCTCTTGATCATCGCATTCAAAATATTCCATGAGTCTCAGTCTTCTACTGAATGCATGAATGTCCACTTTAAGCTCTTTGTGATTCTGTGACGGAGTTGGCGTGAACTTTAGACCCCGTTTTAGTAAAGTTATTTCAGCTGTAGTGAGTTGTCTTTTAGAAATGTTAATTATTTTTTGGTCAACGCGTTGTTTTTCTTCTGCAGCAGTCACATTTCTTTGAATCTGTGCCTTGTTTGGTGGCTGTACCCTAAAAAAATATCTGTTGTGATCCTCACGTTGTGCATTATTTTGTCTGCTGTAATCACCATGCTGTATATTATTGACTCTTCCTTGTTCTCTGCCACGTCCTCTTCCGCGTCCTGTACCACGCAGGAAACGTTTTTCCTGGTTCCCATGATAGTATGTGCGATTTGATTTAAAGTGGTTCAAATATTCTGTATGTTTTGATCTCGTCGACATCGCGGCCTCGTTCCGTCTTGCGCTCTGACCTCGCTTCAATCGAGTAGAGTGGTTTGAAGTAGCTTGCTGGTTAGTTTTCACAACACTAGCATAACTTCGGGTGGCCCGATTAGACGGATGGGTGCTTGGTGTTGTGCAATTAGAGTTTGACGGCTTAGTTTTACACTTTCTCTCCTTCACACACACTTGGTCCTTGCAGTACTTCTCTGCATACGAGTTAAACCATACTTCTTTCCCACTCCATATTTCAACAGACTTCATTTCTGCTTTACATATATCTTCCTTCCATAGTTTATTAAGAAACTCTTTAACTTCCGTTGAAGGTATATCATGAAAAGCTAACGCCATAAGATCATCTTTGGTTTGAACTGTACTTTCATATCTTGTCAGTCTCTTCTCTAAAAGAGCGATTTCCGTTTGAAATCTTCTAACTGCCAAGTCTTTACGAATGTCAGTTTCTTCTATAGCATTTATTCACCTGATCAAGAAGTAATTATATACTCCGAAACGTTGTGTCCCTCATAATAAAGAAGTTGACATCCATAAATTCTTTTCCTTATGTACATCACTTCTAAACGTCATTCGGGGCGGTCGGGTAGACTAGAGGTTTAAGCGTTCGCTCGTCACACCGAAGACCCGGGTTCAATTCCCGACATGGGTACAAAGTGTAAAGGCCATTTCTGGTGTACCCCGCCGCGATATTGCTGGAATATTGCCAAAAGCGGCGTAAAATCAAACTCACTCATTCACTCACTTTAAATTTCATTCAAAGACTTACTAACATTTGTAAGTATAGGGTATTTGTGTTAACAAGCTTCACGAAAACACTTCTCACGAAGCAATCCGAAGCCCAACCAAATGTCACCCTAATAAAGGCAAAGCACGAGGACACAATATATTTTCAATGGAAATGATATGATCTTTTTAGAAAAGTGTACTGTAAGAGCGTCATGTTGACGTAAACGTCTGTCTGGCTTAATTGTGCTGGATTACTGTGACCGAGACGGCCACAGCAGTTTGTTTTTATTTTGTGAGCTTTCAGGAAATGAGTACAGTCCTGTACTTTGTGAGAACGAGCATATTGTCGTGCAAGACAATTGCGCCTGGTGCCTGGGACAACGTGATTTTGATTGTTTGTTTACTGTTTAACGCCACACTCAGTAACTGGTATGGGGCGAAATGTAAAGTACCTGTCATTTTTGCTCAAGTCTGATTTTACGTTTACGTTTATGATCACGCCTTTATATCAACAGGTAAAAAAATTCCATTGGGCCTAAAAAAAATTCTCCGCCATTTTCGCGGCCATCTTGAATGTCAAAATGGCTGCCATTCTGCCTTTGATTTGTATTAAGCTGTCGTTATATACAAATGAAATGTGGAGTTGGAACTGGATTCTTAAAATTAATTAAGAGAGTTAATTTTCAGGAATGCCAATTAAACATGCATAGTTATTGTGTCAGATGACATATTACCAACAATTTTAGTGAATTTAAGAAAATATAACAAAATGCATTGCCTGACACACAAAATGCACAACAATCATCGATTCTGTAATTTAATCAGATCTCAAATATATCATTCTTATTATTTCAGTTTTAATAAAAAAGACTGTAAACAGCAAATACAACAGGATTTCATTGTATTTATTTTTTGCAGTATTCTATAAGTTGTTATAGGTTAACATACAAAGTCCGATTTGCTCAACATCATCCTCATTCAAGTATGTCAAGATATACAAGTATCGCCGAAATATTCAAAAACCCGTGAAGATACCAGTGTAGAATAGGTCTTCAGCAAACCAGGCTTGCCGCAACACGCGACTATGCTTGTCGTAAGAGGCGACTAACGGGATCGGGTGGTCGGGCTCTCTGACTTGGTTAATGCATGTCATCGATCCCAATTGCGTGGATCGATGCTTATGATGTCAATCAAAGGATTGTCTGGCCCAGACTCGATTTTTTACAGACCGCCGTCATATAGTTGGAATATTGCTGAGTGCGACGTTAAACAACAGACAAACAAACAAAAGCATATTCAAAAACCATTAACAGCCAAACGTACTTTCAAATAACACTTCTTGTGTTCAGAATTCATTATGTTAAAGTTAATCAAGTAAGTTTCTTATGAAGATAGCTTTCATTTTCAAGTGATAACTCTTCATCTGTTAATCCAGACACTTCAGCAATGTCATGTTGCAACACATTCAAACAATATTTATTGGCCTCACATTTACACAGATCAGTGCACCCAATGGTATGCTGTTTGCACCGGCATCACGCTGATCACTTCCTGACACGACAGTTGCATTTGGTAAGTTCAAAAATTGCTGATACAGCAAGCTCCTCTGTGAGAATCAGCATAAGTTTTACGTCTGTTTTTCGCCATCCAAGATCACATGGGTCAAGTATCATAGGATGTACAGCATTATCCTGTGTCCGACCTTGTAAGTGTGCCTTCTTGATGTGCTGTGCCAGTGTCCCTGATGTTGGAGGTAGCTTGTCTACCCACTTTGTCTGAGACAGTTTCTTCAACTTTTCCATCTCAAAGTTGCTGCATCTTTTGCTGACGTCTCTTGCAGATAGGAATTTACACAGGAACCGTTGACACCTTTTTATCACATCAGCAGAAGGAACTTCATCTTTTCCCAGATCAGCTTTGGCACGGTCGTCTCCACAAACTCCACAAACTGAACCATGTAGGGCACGACAGCCCTGTCTTTTCCAAGTACTACGAAGAGGGCTTGAATGGAACAAGTCTCTCTCCTCTTGTCACCTGGTTCCGTTAAGACATAAACCTTTGGTCCCAGTTCATCAAGTCGTCTAAAGAGGGGTACCGGCAATCGGTATCCTGAATAACGAAATGTACACAGAAAAGTCCACGCAGGATCATTAGAGAGTCTGCTTCATCTTGAGCACTGTTGGGGGTCGTTTGTCAATACAGCTTCACTTGTAACAGTGACAACTGGATAATTGCGACTTGTCTGCAAGATAGAGGGCATGAGAGTGTTTTGTTGGCTTGCTTGAGAGTATTTTCTATTGATCCATTATTGGTGCGGACTCATCCCACTCTTAACTCAATACCGACCAAGTGGCCCCTTTACCGGTAGCCTTCCCCATATATGTTTTTTGGCAATAGTTTATAAGGTAAAGGAGACGATTGTACTTGGCATACGACGTGTTTCGCATCTTAATGTTGCTTTTGTCTTTGCATCTTTGACAATGACCTTGAGATAGTCATACAGGTTTATTTATGGTTTGTTTGCGTAACGCCACACTCGTTAACACTCAAATCTGTGATTAATGTGAAAAACATAATATACTTTTTTCGGTCACTGCTTTAAGACTTACATTTTACATAACATACAGGTTGTCCAGCGATCATCTATTTCTCACCTGAGATACAAAATACAGTATTTTCTGAAACAAATATTTTTAAAATACAAATCCCAACCCCTACCATCTCAAGATGATCAGTCACTACATAATGTTGTTTCTTGTATCCACATGGTACACCGACAAATCTGCACCACCCACACAGGACACCGACAAATCTCCATCACCCACACAGGACACCGACAAATCAGCACCACCCACACAGGACACCGACAAATCTGCACCACCCACACAGGACACCGACAAATCTCCATCACCCACACAGGACACCGACAAATCTGCATCACCCACACAGGACACCGACAAATCTGCACCAACCACACAGGACACCGACAAATCTGCATCACCCACACAGGACATCGCCAAGACTGCATCACCCACACAGAACATCAACAAATCAACATCACCCACACAGGACACCGACAAATCTGCATCACCCACACAGGACACCGACAAATCTGCATCACCCACACAGGACACCGACAAATCTGCATCACCCACACAGAACATCAACAAATCAACATCACCCACACAGGACACCGACAAATCTGCATCACCCACACAGGACACCGACAAATCTGCATCATCCACACAGGACATCGCCAAGACTGCATCACCCACACAGAACATCAACAAATCAAGATCACCCACACAGGACACTGACAAATCTGCATCACCCACACAGGACACCGACAAATATGCACCACCCACACAGGACACCGACAAATCCTCATCACCCACACAGAACATCAACAAATCAACATCACCCACACAGGACACCGACAAATCTGCACCACCCACACAGGACACCGACAACTCTGCATCACCCATACAGGACACCGACAAATCTGCATCACCCAAACAGAACATCAACAAATCAACATCACTCACACAGGACACCGACAAATCTGCATCACCCACACAGGACATCAACAAATCTCCACCACCCACACAGGACACCGACAAATCTGCACCACCCACACATAATGTCCAAAAATCTCCTGTGCTCCAAGACAAAGCCTCATCAACCTTGCAGAACGAGAAACCTGCGGGAAACGTAGGTCCTTTCAAACGTAAGGGACTGAGAAACGAGGGGAAAAACAGAATGACGAAGATTTTCAGGAAGACAAAGATCGCAAAAGCGGGTAGGTTCATAAACAGGATACACTACAATGTATACACATAAAAAAAAGTTAAGCACCTCCCAGACATTTTCTGTATAGTAAACAAGAATCACGAACATGACAAAATTGACAGAGTGGAGTTGGATAAAGCATTATGTTTGTAAAGAGCAACCATCTGAGAACAAACAAAACAAAATGAAATTTTAATTGAGATATGGTTGCCCAAACACCGGTACTGTTTTTACCACAACATAACACCAACTATAAGTATAGCACTGCTAATTTGGAACAACGATAAATTATTGCACATAATGAATAAAAATGTCTATTAACGTACATTAATGATATTCACGTGTCAAAAAGTTTAATAACGGGTGGGGCCACCGCGTGCCCGGATGACAGCCTCAACCCTTCTCCTCATCCCTCCAGTCAGACGACGGATCATCTCAAAGGGAAATAGCGCCCATTCATGATGCAAAGCTGCTGCCAATTCATCCAGATTGTGTGGAGGAGGATCTATTGCCTGCACTCTACACCCAAGAATGTCCCAAATGTGCTTTATGGGGTTAATACCTGGATTCATTGCAGGCCAAGGTAGAGTTGCAATGGCGTTGTTTGCCAAATATACAGTCACAACTCTTGAACGGTGGGGTCTAGCGTTATCGTCAATGAACAGGGGTCTTGATGCCAGAGGGTGGTTGTCAAAATGGGGAACAACAACTGGTTCCAGAACTTCCCGGATGTAACGTTCACCATTGAGATTGCCCCGTTTTGTCACAAGGTCTTACTTGCAATCGTGGGATACGCACCCTCATATCATCACGGCGCCACCACCAAACGGAGCAGTTGGTTTAATGTTCTTGGGGGTGTATGCTGTACCTTGGTGCCTCCACACTCTTGTTCGTCCATCATTCACATGCAGATGAAACCTGCTTTCATCTGACCAATGGATACGTCTCCATGTTCTGAGGTTCCACCCTTGGTGTGCCAAACACGCAGTCTTCGACGACGTTGTACCAGTAGGGGGCGTTTGACGACTCTTCCGGCACTCATTCCAGCAGCTATTAAACGATTCCGCAATGTTTGACAAGACAGACGTCTATTGGGTAACAAATTACGCCTCAGGTAGCTGCTCGTCGCACATGGATTTCTTCGCACTAATCGCAGTAATATCCTGTTTTCACATCTTGACGTCACAGGAGGGTGTCCTGTACGTGGCATGTCCTTAACTGAATTGGTTTGTGCGTGTTGTCGCACTAAACGGCTGATCAGTGAGTAATGGTAACCCAATTGACGTCCAATCACCATGCATACCAAATATGGTCCATCTTAGTACTTCACATAAACTCCTTTGCCGTTTTCATACTTGACGACTACACAAATCAGTTTACACCATTTTCAGTACCAGGATTTGATGCTTTTGCTGAGTGCTAGGGAGGCATGACGCACGTGCACGCACGGGAAATTGGGACGTCACCATCACGCATTAACGGTCAAATTATTCGGACTAAACAACATTAATATCATAATTAGTATTGCCATCAAAATTAAGCATTATGGTAGTGTATTATCCTACATAATACTCGGGGGTGATTAACTTTTTTTATGTGTATATATATCGGAATGTTATGACACTGACTCATTCGGCACCTCCCTCTCTCTCGCAAGACGACTCGCCCACATGTACAGATCGAACAACACGACAAACAAGTCAGAATGCGCGTTTGACTACGCACTTTGGTCGAGGAATCACCCCTTAATACTTTATTAGTTATATTTGGTGTCCAAATATACCAACACGACAGTCACAATTGCATTTTCACAATGAACAACGCCATCGGCAAAAATCGTCCCCTTTTCCTAAACGCAAAGAAGACTCAGCCATGAATGTTGGAAATGGATTAACAGTAAACAGGTGATCTATCGCCACAGGTAATCACACACAACCACCAGATTACCTGTAATCTGTGGTATTTCCGTCTGACAAGGCGTTCCTAGCTGTCGACAGTAAGCTAGAATGTTTACATCACGTGACGGTCATGTGCTAACGAGTTCGATCAAAAATAGTTCCGGCTTACATTGGCTACGAGACACCTCAGAGGTCTATTTTCAGCAAAAATGGCCGATTGGTCTTACAACTAACAATGGCGGATGTTGTTAACAAATTGACTAGGTTGTCCGCTGTGCACGATTGCGCGAAGACCATAACTGTGATGACAATGGTACGAGTCGTCATTGTGCCTGCTCCGGGACAACACGACTGGTCACGAATGACCCAACCGTTTTTTGTAATATTGAAATTCTGTGTTCCAGCAGAGGTATTCGTCCGGATCATATACAAGGTTGTGACAGAGACTGCGAAATCGATTGAGAGTGGCACTGACTGTTACGTGTATCTGAGGGTGCACGGTGACAACAACGACCTTGAAGAACTGTACCTAAATAAAAAAGGATTTGAAATGCAACCAGGACAGATCGATAGCTTTAACGTAAGTTGATGTTGATGTGTTGGTTAGCGGAGTTGTAATCCACGTGTATGTCGCCATACAGCATCCGCATCCGTATTGAAAGACGCCGTCACAGAGCTGGAACATTTTCAATTGCTCATGATGGCAATCACTGGATTGTCTGGTCCAGACTAATCTACTTCCAGACTGCTATCACATGAGTGCTGCGTTAAACAACAAACAAACAAACAAACTGTAAATAAACTGATCGCGTGAAGAGGCTTGATGGACCAAACTTGATTATTTACAGACGCCGTCACAGAGCTGGAATATTTCCTGAGTGCGGCTGTAAACAACAATACACACTAAAACATGTTCATATTGGAGTCTATGTGTTAGCCTTGGCACAACGACACCCCTATATTAGTCTATAATTATGATGATATCTATTTCCAGTTCACCAGGACCAAAGACATAGGACATATTACAAAAATGGAGCTTTTCATTAAGAAGTATGGAATAGCGCCGGCCTGGTTTTGTGTTAGGGTGAGTAGAAATGATGTTATTCATATTTTCTGTTCACTCGTGTTCATACGTTTAGATCCTGCTTCGAATCCTAACATCCTCAAACCAGTTGTGATTCCCACAGTGGTATTGTTAAAAAATTGCAGCGCTCAACCCCTGGTTGCCACAGTGGTATTGTTAAAATATCGCAGCATTAAACCCTGGTTGCCACAGTGGTATTGTTGAAATATTGCAGCGTTAAACCCTGGTTGCCACAGTGGTGTTGTTGAAATATTGCAGTGTTAAACCCTGGTTGCCACAGTGGTGTTGTGGAAATATTGCAGTGTTAAAGCCTGGTTGCCACAGTGGTATTGTAGAAATACTGCAGCGTTAACCCCCTGGTTGCCACAGTGGTGTTGTTGAAATATTGCAGCGTTAACTCCCTGGTTGCCACAGTGGTATTGTTGAAATATTGCAGCGTTAACCCCCTGGTTGCCACAGTGGTATTGTTGAAATATTGCAGTGTTAACCCCCTGGTTGCCACAGTGGTATTGTTGAAATATTGCAGCGTTAACTCCCTGGTTGCCACAGTGGTATTGTTGAAATATTCTAGCATTAACCCCCTTGTTGCCACAGTGGTATTGTTGAAATATTGCAGTGTTAACCCCCTGGTTGCCACAGTGGTATTGTTGAAATATTGCAGCGTTAACTCCCTGGTTGCCACAGTGGTATTGTTGAAATATTCTAGCATTAACCCCCTTGTTGCCACAGTGGTATTGTTGAAATATTGCAGCGTTAACCCCCTCGTTGCCACGGTGGTATTGTTGAAATATTGCAGCGTTAAACCCTGGTTGTCACAGTGACAGGCACATTCCTCCTCTTCAACCCAGACTATGTAGACAAAATACATCAGTTGGTTTTTTTTCTTAGGTGTCCTCCATCATTTCGTTTAAAAAAATCAGAAAGTTTGCAGACACGAAAGTGGAAGTTATTTTTTCCATGTTGAATAGTGTTTACAAAATCACGTTTCACGTATTTATCACGCGCATATCACATCACATATATTTCACACTCAGCTGCGATCCATGCATCCCTGAATCTTTAAACATGAAAAAACTAAATGGCTTTAATTTGTCCTTAAAGTAAATGGAGAAATGAAGAAAGTCCTAAACGTTGCGTGCATGTTTGGTAGTTTCATTGAGGTGACGTTCGGGTGAATGAATCATTCTTTCTTGCAGTTAACACACTGACAGAAATAGTAGAGTTCACTAACTTAGTCAATGAATTTCACTGTCCACACATACACTAACATGTTAGTAAATGTTACTAAACTTTTACTAAATAGACTCGTAGGTTGTCTATCGTAGACTGTAAAATTGACTAACCACTGCAGTGCCGTACCCAGAGTTGTAGACGACACATTCAAAATCGATCACAAATAATGTAGCAAAAGTAGAGAGCTTACACGTAACTGTAGGTAATGGAAATCAACATTACCAATGGCTCAGAGCGATTACACATTCACTCCATCCACTGAAGTCGAACAAAACCAAGAATGACCCCTACCCACGTGCACGGAGGAATTGCAATATTTTGCATGTATTGGGCTGCGAGGTTTTTGTTTCAGGGCAGTTTTATCTCTGGCAGTCATTTTTCAAAGGTTTGACGACCGTCCATAACAATTTATATTTCATGGTTCCCCACTTGGAGCCTCGTGAAGATTCCGGGGTAGAATAGGTCTTCTGCAACCCATGCGTGCCGTAAAAGGCGACTATGCTTGTCGTACGAGGCGATTAAAGGTATCGGGTGGTCAGGCTCGCTGACTTGGTTGATGCATGTCATCGTATCCCAATTGCTCGGATCGATGCTGATGATATTAATCACTGAATTGTCTGGTCCAGACTCGATTATTTACAGACCACCGTCACAAAGCTGGAATATTGCTGATTGTGGCCTTAAACAAATAAACAAACAAACTTGTCTTGGAGAGTCTGTATAGTCGAATAAGGGGACTGTTATGAATGATATTCTTGTCGGAGTATTTGAGTCTGGAGCGCGAAGTAAGTAATACGTTCCAGGTGTATGAGAAACGTCTTGCAACAAGTCGAGTGAACTACTAATATCGCTTGTTTCAATTTCATAACATTGTCATTTGGTTGGATACCACTTGTAGCGCTGGGTCATTCGAACCAGACTCACAGCGAAGCTTTGGTGTCGAACAAATGGTGGGGGCACGGGAGGCCCAGTCGTCTAAGGCGCCGCGATTCGCTGTGCAGAGTTGCGTCCCTTGGGTACGCCAGAAACCTATCATTGTGGGTTCGAATCCCGGTTCGCCCCAATTATGTTTCTAGGTTTGTCAGCACCATACCCGTGCTCGTGGGTTTCACCGAAGTGGTAAACGTCTTAGACCTACATCACTTCGGGCTTTCCTCCCACATTAAGCTGACACGCCGTGATATAACTGGAATACTGTTAAAAGCGGCGTTAAAACCCAACTCACTCACTCACTCACTTGAACAAATGGTCTACAGGATGATGCGTTTATGATCATTCGTAGCTTTGTTCACATTTCAGATAGCACTAGAACGGCGGCGTCAATATACCAGACACACACAAGTTGAGGTGTATCACTCTTCATTAAACCGATGGTTCATGTCTGTAATGGTTGAAAACCGTTTTCTAATTTTTCCTCTTTTTTGTAAAAAAGAACAAATTTCATATTTCATATTGTTGATTTTATTTATTTATTGTCCCAAAAGATTTTTGATAATAAAAACTCCAGTTTCCACCCTTACCGAAATACGCTGGAATTTCGTGACTTGATTGTAGAGACACCAGTGTTACGAGTTATGTCCCTTCTAATGACCAATCTCTCATATGGCCTCAGACCACAATTAATTTCCTTCTTTGCTATCTACAGTGACATGACAGCCCACCATAATTATTATCAGTCGTAGGCTGTTCTCCTGTTGCATGCTGACCAACCTGCATGGGAGCAAAATTAGTGAACATTTAAAGTCAAAACTGAGTGACAAACAGAGGGGGGACTACAAAAAGGGTCAACTTGACCCTGTGCCATGTTTTAGTAAACAAGCTGACCATTTATATTCAAAGAAATGAACATGTGCAGTAATACTGTAGCTAATGACTAGCTTATGACTGACTTTGTGTAAAAAATTGAGTTGAAATAGGTAACAGTTGCTGTACAGCTATGTTTTTTGTATATGCAATGCTACAATCAGCTGTCACTGTGATGAACATCAGTTAATGAATAAAATCTTAATCATTTACTTTGCTTGTTGTTGTCTCTTTTCACAGCTTCAAAGCCAAAAGGCAATCTGCATATGGCGCATGGCCTTTGCATGCACCCCTGTTCACACAGGCTACTCTGTCTGCATTTACACTATGCGGCTCAGCAGACAGATGTTCGACATAGGTGCATTTGGAATTATGGCACAAATGGCTGATGTCCAAATCACCTATGTCGAAATCTTCCCTATGCACAATGTAGCTAAGTCTATGGGCATTTACGGTGCGCCACTTGTTGGATATGGGGCAATAGTACCTCAAAATCCCATATCCACTGGGCTTACATGCCCTAGACCAGATTTGACATGGGCCGTTTTGACAGGTGCCATGTTGGTCACTTTTGGCTGAATGCCGAGCAAATATCTCTCTGTATTTCTTGAAAAAGGCTTCGATGTTGGCCATATTAATATTGTCCAAGTGCAAACGAGGCACGACAGGTGTAGTGATACATGATTCTACCATATTGGAACTCATATGACTTATTATGATGCTGGCATTCACTCATTTCAACAACATGCATAAAATCGCACGTTCGAAAAAGTACACAAAATCATTAAAAAAAAAAATAAAATATTTCAACCTGAAAACACATGTACAAAGATTTCAACACTTACTGTGAATATATGTGCAAAGTTTCAAGTCAATTTCTTGCATAATGATAGAGATATAGTGAATCAAACATATGCACTAGCCTCACCATATCAGGCCTCAGACCACAATTTATTTCCTTCTTTGCTATCTACAGTGACATGACAGCCCACCATAATTATTATCAGTCGTAGGCTGTTCTCCTGTTGCATGCTTACCAACCTGCCGCTTGTCACTTAAAACGCCAAGTTTCGGCCAGCATCCACCTCCTTGCTTTCGCAGTAACCACTGTCAACAATGCTCACCGGAAGTTTCGAGCCGAAACACACACAACGGCCTTCAACTTGGGGTCAAATCATGGGAAGCTGGAATCAATACCTTCACAGATTGGGGCTAACAAAAAAATGACAGCAAACTACAATGTCTTATCTTTCATTTAAGCTATCACAAAGTCACTCCAAAAAAATTGCCACAGGCTGAACAGCCCATTTAAACAGGGTACTATATTCTCCTATTTTCCTTCCGGTTCATGGTAAAACTTAGGGGGGGTAATTGTGGTCTGAGGCCATATCACTTACACTTGCTTCAAACAAAATGGCGGAGCCCAGTTAAGACGATCTGATTTTTAAAAATAAAATGGGTCTTAACTGACGAAGTGCATCAAATAATTTACTCACCTTGATTAAAAACATGAAAAGATTTGGACGCCCAGTTGACGGTACATATGCTTTGCAAATCCTGCAGTCGAACGAAATCTGCACGCTGAAATCCATGTTGTTTACGAACCGTATGTCTAATTCGTTTCGAGATTTTGATTGTACTATACAAAGACTCGTTAGTCCAGCCAAAATGTAACTCCGGAATTCCAGCCTAGTTCGGCAAGTGGAATCTGGACTTTTACTATCAGTTACCTCCCTTGCCCCGGGATGCTGAATGGTATCACTGGACATTATCAAATGTCAGGGAGATCGCCACAGCAGCCCTGCTACATCCAGATCCGTCGTATTCGAAACAAAACAGTCGCTGCAACACGTCGCCTTCTGCACATTAATGACCTGCCGGAATCCAAGCCAGATG